AGGGCTTCTATCAGGCCCGCAGTGGAACTGGCTATCTTCTGCTTCTTCTTCCAGTTCTGCTGCGTCATTGTAGGTTTGCAGCTTACATATACACACCTGAACAGCATACTCAAGATTGCAACAGCACAGAATTTTTGATGCAATAATTCAGAGCAAGAGGTATCAGTTATCAGTCACTGTTAAATAAACAAAATACTGCAAGAGTGCTAATGTTTTAAGCATGTTTTTTATTTTAAGTAAAAAAAACACCTTTGTGTTTGTGTCCTTTATAAAGTTTATATCTCCGCTACCTGGCATTACATTTTATGGCACACATGGCCCGGCCCAACAAAGTCTCATTTATGTCAGATCTGGCCCTCATAGCAAATGAGTTCGACACCCTTGGTCTAGGGGCTCAGATAAGGACTATGCTTCAGGATAGGGAAAGGAACTGCTGCTTAACAAGGACTCTGGGCATGAATGCTCATTTCTTCTTCTGGATGGGAAGGGATGGGACCAAGGTCCCAGACACCCATGTTAATCTGACTCCACTTGTGTTGAGAGCTGCCTCATTTTACAAGGCTTTGAGAGGACTTGGCCTTTTGCTTTTTCTGGCCCAGCTTCTGATTTTCCTAAATCTAACAATTACTTTCTTGCAGTAAGTTGACAAAAATAGTCATGCTTCAGTGTTACACAATTCCAAGCATCCCAAACTCTGAGACTCATGTGGCAGGGATTGATGATGTAATGGGGCAGGAAATGATGATGTCATATAGTTCCACAATACGGCTTTCTTAGGTCCAATTAAAGTTGATTAAGGCCCATGTAACTCTTTGTGTTGTGCAGCCCTGCACTATGAGATATAATTCAAAATGTCACAGAAAACTGTGATATGCATGAAGGCAAAGAAGGTAAAGTTATTTTCCAGATGATCAAGATAAGAAAATAATCCCATTGTTACAGCACATTTTACACAAATGCAGGTGTCTGCATAAGACTCCAGTATGTTCAACTTAATCTTTCTAGCAACAGGTGAATTACAACTTTGTAAACTGCAATTACACAATAAAAATACACAAAGAAAATAACATAAATGTTTCTTTAGAGACACCTTGGGGTAGAAATTCACCAGTTAGGAACAGACAGATGATTTTTTTTCCAGTTTTCAATAATAAGACAAAGTAAGACTCACCTGTCCAACGGCTTGCCCTTCTTGGTTCATATTTGAATCTTCTGCAGGGAAAAAAGGTTCTGATTTATTAGAATCCTGCTGAGCTCTCAGGGTGTTTGTAAGAAAGAGAACCTGACTCTTCCGAGAACCCGAAGTTAATGAAACCTCATGGCAATAGGATTGAAGAAATGCTCGAACTCCATCAATCCCCACAAACTGTGAAACTGGAACTCCATTGAAATGGATACTACCAGACTCACACAACTGAGAAGTTCTCCACTTGCGAAGTCTGAGTGCCAATAACACAAGGAGGAAGGTGAAAAACAAGCAGGAGACAAAAGCCACAGCAACCACCAAGTAGAAGGTGAGATCCGACTCGGGATCTGCAGGAGCTGAGATGCTGCTAATATCAGAGAGGCTTTCGGGGATGCTGTCGGCCAGCACCACAGTGACCGTGACTGAGGCAGAGAGAGGAGGCTGCCCATTGTCCTTCACTAAAACCACCAAGCTTTGCTTGAGAGCATCCTTGTCCAGAAGGAAACGGGCTGTCCTAATTTCTCCAGTATGGAGTCCTATGGTGAAGAGCCCTGGCTCCGTGGCCTTGAGTAACTGATAGGAGAGCCATCCATTCTGGCCAGAGTCTGCATCCACTGCCACCACTTTAGTGACCAGGTATCCAGGCTCAGAGGAACGAGGGGCCAGCTCTACTCCAGTCGAGCCATCACTGGGCAGGGAGGGATATAAGATTTGGGGAGAATTGTCATTTTGGTCTAAAATTAAGAGAATCATTGTGACATTGGAACTGAGTGGTGGTGAACCTCCATCTTGGGCCTTGACTAGGAAGTGAATCTCTTGGAACTCTTCATAATCAAAGGAGCGGAGGGCATAGATGGCTCCAGTCTCAGAGTTTATAGAGAGGTAAGAGGAGAAAGGTGCATACTTCACTTGGTCTGGAATGATAGAATAAGTAATTTTGCTGTTCTCCTCCCAGTCTGGGTCGTTTGCTTTTAATGTGAAAACAGAAGTTCCAGGAGGTGTATTTTCTGTTATGAAGGACATGTAGGACTTCTCTTGAAAGGTGGGTGGGTTGTCATTTTTGTCTAAGATTTTCAGGGGAATGATGGTTGTTGTGGATAGAGGAGGAGTTCCTTTATCAGTTGCTATGACAGTTACATTGTAAGCTGATATTATTTCTCGGTCAAGGTATCTGTCAGTCACCAAACTGTAATAATTGTCAAAGGTTTTCTCTAAACGAAATGGCAGCTTCTCAGAGCTGGAGCACCAGACCTTTCCATTGTCACCTGAATCCCTGTCTGCTACTCTTAACAGTGCTACTGCAGTTCCTTGAGGGGAATCTTCACTCACAGCATTGGTGAGAGACGTGACTGCAATCTCTGGTGCATTATCATTTACATCAATAACAGTCACCAAAATATTTGCACGGCCCGATATACCCCTTCCATCACGGGCTTGGATCTCCATTTCATACATAGTATTCTCTTCAAAATCCAAATTCTGTTTCACTCTGACTTCTCCAGTCTTGGGATCCAGATGGAATATATTTAAAGCTTTTTCTGATGCTTGTCTGAATGTGTACATTATCTCTGCATTGATGCCTTCATCCACATCAGTAGCATTTACTGTTAGTAACAGAGAATCTATGGGAATGTTTTCCATTGCAGTCACTTTATAAACAGATTGTGAAAAAACTGGCGCATTGTCATTTACGTCTTCAACAACAACCCTGATATGCGCAGTTCCGGATTTCACAGGATTCCCCCCATCAGTGGCTATGAGGATTAAGTCATGGAAAGCTGCTTCTTCCCGGTCCAGAGTCCTGTCTAGTATAAGTTCAACATATTTGCCTCCATTTGCAGCAGTTTGTACATCAAGCGTGAAATGTCCATTGGGGCTGAGTTGATAGGTCTGTAAAGAGTTTTTTTCTAAGTCTGGGTCCTGTGCATCTGGCAGAAGGAATCGGGACCCTGTGGCTGTATTTTCTAGGATTTTTAGCTGTACCGCCTCTACTTTGAAAGTTGGTGCGTTGTCATTAATATCTTCAATTTCAATTTCAGCTATGTAAACCTTCACTTGTTCCTGAATAAGAATCTCTAACTTTAGCATGCAAGTTAAGAGTCGTCCACATATTGCTTCTCTATCCACTCTTTCATGAATACACAAATGGCCATTTTGGAAATCAAGGTCAAAATATTGTCTCCTACCTTCTGTAATAAGCTGGATGCCCCCATGTGAGAGTTGCTTCAAATCCATCGCCAAGTCCTTTGCAATATTCCCCACAAAGGAGCCTTTTGGCAATTCCTCAGGAACTGAGTAACGGATCTGCCCAGAAACTGCTTGCAAAAGAGATCCCAGCATAAGGAAGAACAACTCTCTCCTTGTAACATCCAATGGCATGTGTAGATCAGCCATTTCAAACTCTGCATGCCTTTGTTCCTCCTCTCCTCAAAGACTTAGATTGATCTTCTTTATTTCTATAGAAACAGATGTTTAAACTGAGCTCTTTTCAAGGAAGAATGCATTTATTTAGGTCTTCCTTGTGTAGCTCTTCCAACAAAACCTTCCTATTCGTTTCAGATCAGAAGAGTACAAACCTTGTGTGTTTTCTGTGTAGTAGTGGGTTATCGAGAATAATTCCCACAATGTTCTCTCCTGGTTGGTGAACAGCGACACCCAATGTCTCAAAAAGTAAGTGCACCATTTTTTTACAACTGCAGCAATGTGGTTTATCTTGAAATTTTAAAAAACTATAGATTCCTTCCATCTTTATTTTATAGTAGCCATAAAAACAAAATACAACTTAAGCATTCATTTTAAAACTAAGGATTTTTAACAAAAACATATCAATTGCATTTTGAAATTAATTAACACTCATCCCCAGTAAAATAAGAAATAAAATGAGACTATCTTAATTTTGTGTAACAGCTCTAAGTCAATAATACTAAGTCTCCATAGTTGTGACATTATTTTATTCACTCATAATGTGGGGTAACTACTCAGATTCCAGAGATAGGCTTCATTCTCCTCTTTCTCTTTAAATTGCATACAAAATTCAAATGTACTTCTGTATTACCATTTAAATGTTTTCATTACCACAATCATGCCCATTTCTGGGATATTTGCCTATGAATTTGTGCATGCATTTTTCTGTCGAACTGAAGATTTCAACACAGATTTTGGAAGAAGGACAAATTCTCTGAGGATTTCAATGGCTACAGCAGAGACTAGTGGAATGGTCCTAGCTGGGGATGCACGTTCCAATCCACCTCTGATACGTCTAGAAGGTTCTGGGGGGAATTACCAGAGTGTCACGATAAATCTCCACATTAACTGGATCAGGGAGAACATAAACAGTGGATCTAATGACAGTTCCCCTAACTTCCTTGGTTTCTGTCTAGACTTTCCTTAACAAAATGATAAAGGAGCATTTTTCAAAGTCTGTACACATTTTAAAAAGTGGAGTTGTGAGGCTTATTGTTTTGACTTGTCTCACTGGAAGAAGAGGACGAAAAGAGAGATGGGCGGGATATGTGCAAATTTCTCAGTGTCACCTTGTTGAAACTACAGGGTGCCCCATCCTGTCCAACAGCGACACATTTTAGAAGTGGCATTCCATTATGTCCAAGTCCATAAGGCAGCAGACAGGATAGAAACTTTCATAAACCTGACGACTTCCTACTGAAATGATATGTCAAGCTGTGTGATTTTTAAGTCTGCCATCCCATGTACAATTTTGGTCCCTCATCTCAATAAATGAAAGACAGGTCTTTTGATTAAACTAAAGTTTATTCATTTTTAGAAGCTGAACTGCAACTGGTAAACTCTTTAGCGTCACCAGTTAGCGAAGATAGCCTGCCCAAAGGGTTTACCAGCATATGGGCAATCCACTCTGGCCTGAGCGGTAATCAAACAGCTCTTTACTTCTCCTTGTTTGCACCACCAAGACCAGTCCCTCTACACTGGGCAGCATGTAGGTTCAGCACCAAAAGAGTTCCATCCCCAAGCACTGGATTTAGCACTTCCCACTCCAGGTTGGGAAATTCCTGGTGATTTGGGGGCGGAGGCTATTGAAGCTGGGGTTTAGTGAGGGGAGGGACCTCAATGGGGTATCATGCCAAACAGCCCGCTCTCCAAAGCAGCCATTTTCTCCAGGGGAACTGATTTCTGTTGTCTGGAGACCAGTTATAATTCCAAGAGATCTCCAGGCCCCACCTGGAGGTTGGCAACTATACCTGTATTGGAGAGCACAAAATGCCTAGTTTCTTTACGTTTCTAAGATGTCTCAGAGTGCTTGCCCATTAATAACTTAACAAGCAGCCCACCCTAAACCTGCCACCTTGGTTAGGGCCTTACTAGTTACCTTTGACCAGGCATACTTACTTCTAAGCTTCCACGGCCTTTCACAGTATGGTGCAGATAAAAAAAGGGAGTTTCTCAAAGCCAGTTAGTAGAAGTCACCCAAAATCCCTGCTTGGCTCTGAGGTGACCAGGTGTTCCCAGACTGCACAATTGGGAGGGAGAGTGGGGCAGCCCCGTCAGAAAGGCTGACGTGAGGGCACACAAGCTCTATGTATCCTGCAAATGTACCCAGCGGCTAGTGGGTTAACTGCCGAGTTACCTCTCCAAAGAGCCATGTCTTTATTTTTATTTATTTATGTCATTGAACTTCTGTATCTCCCTGCCCGCAAGTGGGCTCAGACCGGTGTACAACGGGTTCACACAAAATACATTAAAAACAATCTAAAAACAAAGCCGTAAAACCTACACATCTGCATGGTGCCATAGTGCAAAATTTCTAACCACCAATTTACACTAATATGGGGGGGGGAGAGGGGGTAAAAGAACAGTTAATAAGCCGGTACCTGTTAAAATTGTGATGAAAAAAAGTCGGTAAAAGACCATTGCTAAATACCGTTGCTGTCCTCAACCATATGCCTGGTGGAACATCTCTACCTTTCAGGCCCTGCGGAGTTGTAACAAGTCTCGCAGGGCCCTGATGTTAGTAGGCAGAGCGTTCCACCAAGCCAGAACAAGGGCTGAGAAAGCCCTGGCTCTGGTTGAGGACAGCTGGACACTCTTGGGTCAGGGACTTCCAGCAGGTGTTGAACTTCTGAGCACAGTGCTCTCTGGGGGGCCTACCAGGAGAGGTGGTCCCATAGGTATGTTGGTCCCTGACTGTTTAGCGCCTTAGAGGTCAGCACCAAAACCTCGGACCTGACCTGGTACTCAACCTGGAGCCAGTGCAACTGGTGAGGCACAGGTTGAATGTGTGCAGTCGTTGGTATCCCCGTTAGGACCCGAGTCACTGCATTTTGGACAAGTTGTAACTTCTGGATCAGCGTCAAGGGCAGCCTTGCATGCAGCGTCACAATAATCAAGTCTAGAAGTGACCATTGCGTTGATCGATTTAAAACTGAGGAGTTATCAAACAGCTCCCTTTTCGAAAAGTGGGAACCAGCCCATTGGGGAGTAGATTCCATGAGAGCTTGTGGGATTTGCCAAGCTAATGTGTTCAGGATCAGTCTGTTATAGCCCTTCTTGTGATCTTGCAATCCATTATTACTACTGACAATTGCACGATAACGTCATTTAAACATGGATGTATTTCTAAAGAAGGAACTTTAGGTTCAGAGAATGCTGTGACTGTGGAAATAGGAAGCCATGCATAAACAGTGAGAAATAATGACACACACAGAGAATTTATAGATGTGTAAATACTACTTGTTTGCGGACCAAAACCAAAATGTTCCACTTATGGAAGGGCTCATCCTCTCACAAAATGAATCTTTCTATAAATACACAAGACCCAACTCAATGTATTATATTCATACTAACAAAGGGATTGAACTAATGCAGGTAGTTATACACAAAAATGCGGTAGAATTTCTGGAATCTAAAAAAAAGAAATCTAAAAATCCATTAATTCACGCCACATTAAAAATACTCAGAAATACCAGCTTACCTCCTGGGATGCCTGTGCTTCATTTGCAATGTTTAAATCTTCTGGAAGATATTTGAAACCCGGTTCCCCAGAAACTTGCTGATGTGTGAGAGTATTTGTACAGCTTCCAATAGGGAAAAAAATTCGGCTTTTCCTAGAGTCTGTGGTGAGAGAAACCTCTTGGCAATAGGAGTGAAGAAAGGCTCGGACTCCATCAATCCCCACAAACTGTGAGACTGGAACACCAGTGAAACTCCCACTCCCAGAATGACACAGCTGAGAAGTTCTCCATCTATGCAATCTGATGGCCAGTAAAACAAGGAAGAAGGTGAAAAACAAGCAGGAGACAAAAGCCACAGCAACCACCAGGTAGAAGGTGAGGTCCGACTGGGGGTCTGCAGGAGTTGAGATGCTGCTAATATCAGAGAGGCTTTCAGGGATGCTGTCGGCCAGCACCACAGTGACCGTGACTGAGGCAGACAGAGGGGGCTGCCCATTGTCCTTCACTAAAACCACCAGGCTTTGCTTGAGAGCATCCTTGTCCAGAAAGAAGCGGGCTGTCCTGATCTCTCCAGTGTGGAGTCCTATAGAGAACAGCCCTGGCTCCGTGGCCTTGAGTAGCTGATAGGAGAGCCAGGCATTCTGGCCAGAGTCTGCATCCACTGCCACCACTTTAGTGACTAGATATCCAGGCTCAGAAGAGCGAGGAGCCAGCTCTACTCCAGTGGAGCCATCAGTGGGGGCGGAAGGGTACAAGATCTGGGGGGCATTGTCATTCTGATCCAGGATGAAGAGAGTCACTGAGACATCGGAGCTGAGTGATGGGGATCCTCCATCCTGGGCTTTGACCTGGAAATTTATCTGCTGGAACTCTTCATAATCAAAGGGACGCAGAGCATAGACAACCCCTGTCTCAGTGTTAACGGAGAGCAACGAGGCAATTGAAACTGTAGGGTCATTCCCATCAAGAATGGAATAAGTCACTGTACTGTTGGTACCCCAATCTGGATCATTTGCTTCCAACATCATCAAGGAGGCCCCAGTAGGGTTATTCTCAAATGAATATGACTTATAAAATATTTCTTTGAAGATGGGTGCATTATCATTTACATCTAGTATTTTTATTGGAAAGTAGGTAGTTGTAGAGAGTAGAGGTGTCCCTCTGTCTGTTGCTGTGATTGTCAAATTATAATGCTCCACAACCTCTCTGTCCAGATTGCCATCTGTCATCAAAGTGTAATAATTGTCTACAGACTTTTGCAGTTGAAATGGAAAGTTTGGAGGAATGAAACATGTGACCTTCCCATTTTCTCCAGAGTCTTTGTCCTTGACACGCAATAGAGCAATTATAGTCCCACTCTGTGAATTTTCTGGCACTGAGGTGAAGAATGACGAAACTGTGATTTCTGGAGCATTGTCGTTTGCATCCAAAACTGTTACAAACACCTTAGCAAGAGATGACAAACCTTCTGGGTCCTGAGCTTGGACATCTATTTCAAAAAATTCCTGCTCCTCAAAATCCAAATTCCCTTGAACTGATATTTCTCCTGTTTGTGAATTTAATCGGAATATTTGGGAAATCTTCTCTGATTTTGTTCTAAATGTGTATGTTATTTCTGAATTAACTCCTTCATCAAGGTCTGTAGCTTTCACTGTAGTCAGAACAAAACCTAGTGGAACATTTTCCAATACATTAACTTTATAAATGGGTTGGGTGAAAACAGGGGCATTGTCATTTGCATCCAGAACAATAACGTGGATTTGCATGCTCCCAGACCTG